GAAAAAAGATCACTAACTAGTGTAATTGAAAACAGATGACATTGCTCATGTGCAACCAGTCTCCTTATTTCAGATATATTCTCCCTTTTTTATGCCTCAGAAGAAAATCTGACTTTTTTCCTTAGAAAAAGCCAATAGGTTTGGGAAACACATTGATCATTGCTAAGAGGGAAGCTTAGCTGCCCTATAGTTACTGGTACTACATACCTGCACAGAGAGACACTGCATGCCTGCCCATGTAAAGAAAAGTGGTCACACCAAAACAAATGTGTATGGGTGGGGGGAAGAACTCCCCTTATGGCTCCTGAAGAAACAAAGTTCTTCAGGAGATTTCTCAGAGAGGCTATTTTATTTGCTTTTATTCATTATATGGACTCACGCAACCAGCATAGATGTGAAATGTCATTAGTATTTCATGTATGCAGAGTGCTTCCCTCCCATCTGCCTCACACACAGCTCCCTCTCCAAATTATCCCCAAGAACATCCTCATGCTACCTTATTACATCTTTGCATTTTGAGTCAATGTGATGTTGTAATACCATCCCAGACAGCAACTTGAACCAGCTTTGGTCCCAAAGCTAGCATGAAAAATCTCTAAAAAAAAAAAAGAACTAGTCAGGCCCATTTAACATAGAAGGAAAAGTATTAGCACAAGTGAGCTGGTTTTGACTTGGTCAGATTAACTGCGAATTGTTAAGAAAAGATGGAGAATTTTCATGACTTACCATTCAATTATACTGTCTACAAGTAGCCTTTGTAAAAAAAAAAAAATCTCTTCCAATCTCAGTACAGCTCTGATTGCAGAGCAAGAATAACTCACATGGCTTCAGCCATGTGCTTGTAGCTACAGTCATGCCACCCTGCACGAGACCAGCAGAAACAGGAATAGGTAATGAAAGTGAAGTCTTCCAAAGTCCAGCTACCTACCCAGGTCCAAGAGGCACTCTTCTGTATTTGCATTCATCTTTAATTACCTACTTATACATGAAGTTTTAGTACTGGGTAGTACAAAGGTAACCATGCAATTGTACATGTTCTTCTAAAACAATTTTAACTTAAAATTGGCTTCTGTCTAAACATTACATTTAAATGACCTGCAAAGACAGAACAATTTACCACCTCCTTTGAAAGACAATTATGTGAGACACTTTCAAAAATCTAAAAAACATACTTTAACCAGTATTACATTGGAATGGAGACAATAACTATTACTATATTTACAGTTAAACTGCAAGACCTTATGGACTAAAAGAATAGCTGGACTGTTACCTTAAACTCATTGCTGAAAAGATAAAAGGTTATGGCTATTTCTCCACCAGTAAATGGCTGCTATTAGTAGAAGTCCATGAAAATACCAAAGAAACATTTTATAAACAGTGAGGCAGACAGAGCAAGTTCATTTCAAATGTCATATAAATGGTTTGTTCTCATCAGTTACTCTGTTTTCACAGAAGACTTCTAATTTTAATAAGTAGAATTTCATTTGGCAGCAAACTCTTGTCTCTCATGAGAATCTGTATTTATAAATGTTAGCTTATTTTTAAAAACATTTAGAAGCTGGCAGACCTCAGATCCAATGATAATGTCAACACTGCCCTTAACAGCAAAGTCCAACCTAATATGTTTCACCCCAGGGATCTGAACTGACATGCCAAAGTTTCTCACTGCAGCAAGTAAAGAATATGGTCAGAAGGGTCAGTTTATATATTCTAAGCCTATGGCTTGGCATATCCACAATCCCCAAAATATCCACCGAAATGCCACTCCAGCAGCATCTCTTTTAGCAACAGCTAAAGCCAGCTAATACGGACAACACCAAGCAAACTACAAAAAAAAAGGCAAAGTTGTTACCGGGATGGTTCTCTCTGAGGAACAGGTATGCCATGAAGAACTTTCATTCCTGAACAATGATAAAAGCACCCTTCCAACCCAAGAAATACTTTTACAACAGGAAGACGTTTCTTGTAGCTAGGTACAAACTGCAGAACATGTAAGAAAAACTGGCATTTCAAATTAAAACCTGAGATTTTCCATTCTACAAATAAATATACTTGGAATTTTTTGGTGCCTAACATTTTTAAAAAGTTAAGCAGCTAAAAGCTAAGAATTCTTCCAAGTTAAATGTTTGAGGTAGAAATTTAATAAAAAGAGTTGATACTGCCATTTCTCAGGTGCAAGGACAGAATTGTATTGAAAGCATCTAGACTCCACCCTCAATTAAAAAGAAAAGGCTCCTGTTCCTGCTCACTCATATCCTGTATCTATATATTATCTATCAGGACAAATCTGCTCTCCCCAAAGATGAGAGCTGCATGGCTCCATGCCCCATAAAGGGAATCCGAGTGCAGTCCCTGTCAGTTAGCTTGGGGCGGTGGGGTTTTTTTTTACCCGGAACAGTTTTAGGTGCTCTTTCTTTCCGAGAACAAGCAGGTTTGATGTGACAGCCGTGCAGGCAGGAGGAGCAGGCTCCCGGGGCACACGCAGCTGGCCACACGTGCCCTGTTTGCCCGGGGGCTTCCTGGGGCAGGCACAGCGTCAGCCCAGCTCATCAGCATCCAACCTGCACTTACCTGTGGCAACCCAGCCCCGAGCATTGCCCGGACGCCTTTGCAGTGACAACTCCAGCGAGCAGGAAGCAGCTCATTTCCAGTTTATTGCTTTGTTGACTGGCTGCATCATTCTGCCGTGGAAAAGTTTAAGTGCTTTGTGACATTTCACTGAGAAGATACTACAAAATTAAAGTGTCTGTATCACGGTTCAATATAGGACACTAAAACAGCTCATCTTTTTTCAATATATGTTTTCACTTCCTACTCTGCAGCACATCATCTTTGCTGAAGTTTTCCATAACATCTTCCCCAGTTAATATAGGGCATATTTTATGCTTATAAAAACAAGGGCCTTACCCACATCTCCTAAATTAACAACCAACTCCACAACTGAACACACTGGTTCAGCTCACTTCCCCCAAGTCCCATGCCTCCTCATCCTTCCTCCTAAGAATCTAAATTCCATCAACTCTTCATTAATCTCTCCTCCAGCTTTCCCCGCATATAGATCCCAAAATGCCTCAGCTATGTTTCCCACAAGAGGCAGTAAACAGACTTTTGCTGAACCAAGAGTTACCTCTTTCCACACCAACCCACCAAGTAATGTGGCAGAAGTTCCTTAACCCAGTTACTACAAACAGACCCTGAGGCACATATCCAAGTTTGACTTGCAAAGAAGGAAGAAGACAAAAAGCAATCTTCAGTCTGCTTATTCCTCTCTTGTAGACAGAAAGTCATTTCTGGAAATTAGGATAATCTCAAGGAGGGAATTAATGCTTCAAAAAGTAAGAAAGGACTGCTTTTTATTTAATTTGTAAGTGAAAACAAAATAGTCTCTACACAGAGAACACACATAGAGGAATAAACAAAGCAAGGCAATAAGAAAGTAAGAAAATACTAGAATAAGGTGATAAAAACCAGCCAGCATGTATTTAGAGACAAACAAGCCTGTCCTCCTCCTTTAACTGATCATTCATGCTGTGAGGGGGAGCGAGGAGGAAGGAGCAATAACTCCCAGCTATTTAGACTATAGCAAAACTTTTGATGTCTTGTAACATTTCCACAGTAAAATATGACTATACTCTAGATTCATCTAAACCACAAGATGTTTTCCAGTTGTGCACCAAGTGTACTCTAAGAGTACATAACAAGCCTTCTGAGTTTGGCAGCAAGCTATCACCCTGACATTATGCAATGTTTTCATTAATGCTGATGGTGAAACAGTGTGTTTATAGAGTTTATGAACAAAGCTGAGCTGGAAAACTTTGCAAGCACTCTGCTACGAAGCCTTATTCTGTCTTCCAAACTCAATAAACTGCCGAAGCGACCAGAAGTCATTAGAACGAAGTTCAATAGAAGCAAGAGCAAAGCTCTGTACTCGAGAAAGGAAACAGCCGTCCGTCCAAACATGCAGCACGAAGCAGCTGACTAGGCAGCTGTACTGCAGAAACCAAATCGTGATGATATCATGGATCAAAGCCAGGTAACCTGATATGTTGTTACTGCAGAAAGAAAAAAAAACCCAAGAAACAACCAAAACTAACCCCAAACTCAAACATCACTCCCAAAACATTGTATGTAAGAAAGGGAGATAAATAATTCTTCTCCCTGGCACCAGTGGAGCCTCAGCTGAAGAACCATGAGCACTGTATTTCAAGATGCTTCAACAGTTCACTTTAAGAACAGCAGCACAGGGAAGGTAAAGCTGAGCAGCAGCCGTCAGTACTTGAGTTACTGCGTTCCCCAGACCCAGGACAGATAGTTCTGGGAATGTGCTCAGAGCAGCCACTGTCCTCCCACACTCAAACCCCACCTGATGGCCATGTCCTGAGTGATGCTCATGAGATACCTCCTGGGAATGCCCTGTGCCTTTGCATGGCAAAGGGATAAGTCCAGATTCTTACCTGCACTTTCGAAGCTCTCTTCCTGCTCTCCCTCGCCCACACAACTGCTCTGCAGGTTTGCTAGGCAGAGCCCCATATTCCATCCCCTCCATAGTGCTCTCACACATTACATATCTATAGCTGCAAATTTTCCAACTTTCCCTCCTACAGAGATAGCTAAGTATCTTAGGGTCACATTCCCATGTTTTCTTCATTTCTGTCCATCCCTCTCACCTCCTTAAATTTAAACATTCTGTAGCACGTCCCACTGATAAAAACAGCTGTACATTTACATCTCCTCTTTCTTCTCCTGCATCATCCATCTTTGCTGGGGATAACAAGAACCTTACTGGTAGTTCAGCCAAGGCTACATCACACCTCTCCCAATGTGCCTGGGCATTACAATCTTCAGTGCAGTGCTGAGTTAAATTCCAACAAGAACTGCATCCCTCTGCTCCAAACTGATTCTGATATCATTACTTGTGAGAACAACAACAAAAAAAGCCAACACATTGCAAGCCTGTTTAAAGTCTGCTTCTTTTTGCTTTACTTGGGGTGTGAACTTACAGTCTTCTCAGGATTTTGAGGCTCTGCAGAGCAGTGAAACCTGTGGCAAGCTGAGTGGTCTGCTTCTCCTCTGCCCTTTGCTATTAATCTGCGACGATTGGAAGCAGGTGACTGCACACTTGACTGCTTGTGTCCTGTGGTACAGCTGCTATGCAGAAAGCAGCACATGTAAACATTTGCATGATTCGTGCCTCCTAAGAGTCTCTGCGGGCTGCACGTGGCATTTAGGCAGCACTTTCACAGCCCCCTTTGTGCATGGTATTGCTCTACTGTATTAGCACACAGTTAAGCTGGAGGGATCCACTAAAATGGCTGGAGATACCCTCCCACGTTTGGTAAGATCCATGATTTATTTCAAGACTTTTGTTAATTATCTTAGAAGAATTTCAAGACATAACTTCTGAAGGATTTTGCCCAGTTTATGGTAAACACTTTACACTGTATAAGAATCTCAATTTATTATCTCCCAGCTTACAGGAAAAAAAAGGAAAAAAAAAAACCCCACAAAAAATACCCCAGCAACCTAATAACTTGCTTTCTGTACAAATTTGGCTCCTTGTACACCAGATTGGTTAAAAAAGTTATCTGATCACTTATCATACAGCAACTGAAAATGTTTGCAGTGTTCTAACTCCTTCTGCCTAAAATTAAAGAAAGGAATACACAAAGGTCATGTAGATGTTGAACTGCTAGATTAGAACATATTAAAGCTGCAAATATTGACTTGGGTTTTACCTGGCTATTTTGAAATATAATTTCACCCTGACAGTAAACAGTTTTCAAACTTCAGAGTCTGGTATTAAAATCTAAAGATCCTACAAACAACCAGCCTCGCTGCAGTAGATAGTGTGAAGGTTGAGCAGTTAAGAAACAAGGAGGAAAGCAATGAGGCCCATTTCAAAACCATAGTACTTAAACCCCATTAATTTATGATTGCTTCTGTACTATCTGTGCTATCATCACACCATATAATCCTTGCAGCACACACAAACAAGAAATCCACCTAAGAGTGGTCATGTATGCAGTGTCGCTATTAGCAAACATGTCATTAACAAACCTAATTAGGATGTGTATGTCATGTAAGTGTTAGCATTTAATACGAGTATCTGAGCTATATAATACGAATATCTGAGCTATATAAAAGTGTTTCTCAAAACACCAAAGTGATTATAAGAGACACAGAACATGTTTTTTAAACTAAAAGCAACCAGATAATCAATAGAATCATCAAAACTTTAGGAAACATGGATTATTGCTTTTAATTAACATTCGTAATACTACGATGTGCACTTCTCAGATTTTCTTTAAAAAAATATCTTGCTTTAACACGAATCAATAATCACTGCTCCTGTGGATCAAAATAGAAGTCATGACATATTTCCAACTCTAGGGGCACCAGCAGCTGTTGCTACACGGCAAAAGAGCTCAAGTGTTATAAACATATACGTAGACTGCCGTCTTGATTTTTCTGTAAAACCAGATGTCAGTAATCCGACAAGATGTAACCAAATAATCGTGAAAAATTTCTATTTCACCATGCTTGTTATGAAATACCTCCATTATAACTAGGGGGGGAAAAGCACTGTCAGTTTATAAAACAACACAGATGTAAGTTATGGTTATTTTCAGGGTGTTTTTCAGCTATATTTGGATATCTCTACATCTGCTGGCTTTGTCTGTCGATGCCCGATTTGCCTTTGACCGACTCTCGCCTCAGCACTGCAGGACCGTGCTAACGAGCCGGCCGCGTCTGACACACGAACTGCAGCATTCCCACAGCAAAAGCACTTCGCTACGGCGTTTGTCTCTTCCATCCAAGACAATGGAAAGCCGAAGGACAGGCAGGACACGGGGCTGGAACCCCCTTCGCGGGGCACCTTCCGCATCCCACTCCCACTGGCATTTCCCGAGCTGAGCCCGAGTGTCTGGATCCTTTCCCACCCCCCAAAATGACAGGGGAGGGGGTAAGGAAATAAAGCGATAACAACGAAGCCAACCACCGGGTTACTTCCAATCCTACAGACAAAACAAACAAAAAGAAATGTACCGATAAGCCGTTTACCTCGTTCCGGCTTCATCTTCCCCGCTGCCTCAGCGAGGTCTGACAGGGCCGAGGTGCTGTGCCGCTGTCCCCGCGGAGCCGGGCTGTCGCTGCCCCGGCCAGCGGTGTCACTCGCGCCCCGGGAGCGGGCACAGCCGGCGGGAGGCGGCCCCGCCGCTACGGCAGCTGGGCCCGCGGGCGGGCGGGCTGGCGGGGGCCCGCCGGGGGAGGCTGCGCGCCGGCGGCCTCTGCCCGCGCCCGGCCAGGGTGTCCTTCCGTGACACGGCGCCGCGCGGGGCTATTTATAACCTGCCGGGGAAAAAAATCCCACAACAACAGACCTCGGCTCACCTGGCGGCGGCCGGCCGGGGGAGGCTGCGCGCCGGCGGCCTCTGCCCGCGCCCGGCCAGGGTGTCCTTCCGTGACACGGCGCCGCGCGGGGCTATTTATAACCTGCCGGGGAAAAAAATCCCACAACAACAGACCTCGGCTCACCCCCGGCTCTGAGTCACCGCGGCCCCGGGCGACGGCAGCCCCTGCCGGAGTCCCCTCCCTCCTGCCCGCCTGCCTGCCTGCCCCGAGGAAGGCAGCGAGCGGCCCCCCGCCCGCCCCGTCGGGGCCGCGGCCCCCGCCCCGTCACGGGCCGGCGGCTGGCGGCGGGGGGCTGCGCCGCACCTTCATCCCCGGCCCCGCCGCTGCCGCCCGGGCTGCCGGGCCGTGCCCCCGCGATGCGCCCCGGTCACACAGGCCGCCCCGCCCGCCTAACGCTGCTCTCCATGGCTCTGCCTCCGGCCCTGCCTCTGCCTCCTCCTCCTCGCCGCTGACTAACTCCCCTCCTCTCCGCCGGGCACTCCCCGCCTCCCGCCGAGCGGGGCACACACATCACAGCCCGGCGGCGGGCAGGACAGAGCGAGCCGGGGCGGCGCAGCTCGCCCGGGGGATCCCGCCACGCTCGGCCGCCGACGGGGCGGGTAACGCGACCACCGCCCGCCAGGACCGCGGGCCCCGCTGCGC